ATTGTCGCATTTGAACCTTCTCAACATCTAAATTAAGGGAATATGGGGCAAAAGAACATGCTCCAGACTTTTCTAATTTTAAAAGTGGGTGCAATAAAGACCTTAATTCGTCCACAATCTTGGTAACATTAACTGAGACACCTCGGACAATAATCTCATGAATGAGCATTTCCTTTTTTAGGTACGATATAGTCATTATGAAATCCATTTTGTTTCAATAAATGCGTTAAGCAATCAACAAGAACAATAAAGATAGATGGCTATTATACACAGGGGTTCGAAATATCTGTTACTCAAACATAATAAAAACGGCTCTCTAGACTCACTAATACTGATTATAATCTAAACATAGAAATTTAAATTTGATTCTATGCACTTAAAACAGCCAAAATATAATGAATAATAATATATAAGTATAAGGAAGTAAAAAAAAATAAAAAAACAGAGAGAAAAAAAGTCTTTTATCAAAAGGGCAGAAAACCTCTATTCAAATGGCGGCCCCACGTTGGGCGCCAATTAATCCGCAACTACTGGAATTATTGGTGACTTTTTATAAAGGAAAAATGTAAACAAAGTCTAAAAAAAATCAGGGAAAAATTAAATAGGTATGTATATAAAGGAATTTTGAATGGAAAATTGAAAATAGGTGTGAAATAGTTAAAGGCAATTTTGGCATGTTACACAACTAACGGGTCTTCAAAAAAACATATAAAAGATAGCTATGATTTTTCAAACGTATGTCTTAGCAATATTTTTCTTTAATTTTGGAAATTGAATTTTGTGTCAAAATGTTATGTCAAAAATCCTGACCAATAAAGGAACAATAAGGCGGCGTACGTTTTCGTAATCAAAACACTCTTTGATGTGTTTTTTTTTTTGAAAACCCCTTATATTTGAGCCGGGAAAGTGGGTTCTTAGGAGTTCCCTAGCCGTCCCTTTTCCGGTACTGGTTTGTTCACCAAGGCCGTTCTTGAGTGAATTGATTGTTGTCTTCGGGCCCCTTGAGAGAGTTGCCTGTGGTCTAGCACAATCTTGAGTAGGTACCAGCGCGGGTTCAAGGCTCTACCGGGCCCTAGGTGGCAGAAGGCATGGGGCCTTAGCCCAAAGTAATTATTTACTGTTTTTGTCCAAATTGAAAAAAAAAAAAGCCTTTCAAAATGCTGCTGGAAAGTGTTTTGGAACGTTCTAAATGACTTTTTGCAGTTCTAAAGTGTTCTAACTTGGCTTGAAGAGTTCTGGAGCATTCTAGAAGTTTTTCAGTAATTTCTAAATTGTTCTGATAGATTTTTAAGTATTTTAGAGCCCTATTGAAGCTCCAAAAAGTTCTAAATTGGTTCAAAAAAGTTCTAAAAGGTTTCCAGTTCTAAATTAGGATTAAATTTAGAACTTTGAAATTGTTCTAAAATAACTCTGAATTTTCTCAATTGCTCCAAAATGCTCCTGAAAATTCTGATTTAGATTTGAATTGTTTTAAATGCCTTTAAAGAGTTCTAAAGTTCTACGCAATCAAAATTTGCTCTAAAAATCCTTCTGAAAGGCGTTTTGTATTTTTTAATCTGAATCCCAAGATTCTGGCGCTTTTCAAAATGTGTCTGGGGATTCCAGAGTATCTGAGTTTGAGTGTTTTGGAGCGTCCTAAAATGGGTTTCAATGAGTTGTTCTAAAATGCTTTTAGAAATCGGTGTTTGAATGTTTTGGGGCATTTTAAAATGGTTCTGAAATTTCCAAAATTTTCTGAAGCGCTATAGAATGCTTTTGGAAGTTCTGAATTTAATTTTAAATGTTTTAAACTTTCCAAAAGGTCTAAAGTGTTCTGTAGCATTTTAAATGGTTTCCAGTAACTTCTAAATTAAATGAGAAACGAATTCTGTGGGAAATTTTTCCCAAAGACGTCCCTAAGATATCCATAAACGACATTCAAGACGTCTTGCTTACGTCTCAAACACATCTTGGAGACGTCCTAATGTAACAAAACCCAACGTCTTCCAGAGATGTCTTCAGCAATAAGACATTCTAAAGACTACTTCAAATCTTCAAAGAGATGTCTCAAAGACGTTTTTGAATCTCGTTTCAATATACAAGTCATTATTCACTTTTAGGCTTGAAGAAGAGAAAGATATGAATTTACGACATTTTATATGGACATCTTCAAAACAACGTCTCCTAGGCGTCTTTTTTTGGTCTTCAGACGTTCAGACGTAATCGTAATACAGACCCTAGAAAAGACGTCTTCAATACTTTGTGTGCTGTCTGGGTAGTGAAACATCTCGTATCTATTATCTATTACTCGTTTAACGGATGTTCATCAGCAACATAAGGTTGGATGGACTCTACCTGAGTTGGGAATCCCACAGCTACAGAACAGTGTTGCCGATAGTGTGCGTAATTCGGGTGGTGTGGTGCGTCTCAGGGCGCAAGGTTGCCAAAATAAGATATTTGATTTCAGAGTGAATTTTGGGCCCCACTGAGCGCCCGAGCCCTAGGCGGCCGCCTAGTCCGCCTAATGCCTAAGCCGGCGCTGGTAGGTACTTTCCATATCCTCGTAGTACTACTTCCTTCAAGACTTCCTGTTGGATACTCTCAGCTCTTTCTCGAACTTGTTCAACGTGGTTCTATATGTATCCCACTGACGTGTTCTTCTATGGCTTTGTTGAATTCTATTCTGGCTTTTCTCCTTAAACTTGCAAGGTTCTTGTTCCACCAGGGCACATTCTTGCTGGATTTCCTTTGTATGAATGGGTGTACTTATATTTATGTTTATGTTTGGTTGATAATTAATAAATTTCCATTGGTAACTGTTTCACATTATTATCACCTATATTTATTATTTAAAGCTAGAAAATTGCAGATAGAAATAGTGCTAATTGAAATTTGGTTCGATCTCACTTTAGTGAAAAAAAAAAAAAAAATCTTTTGACAATTGGAGAAATTTTGACCCAATAAATCAACCCGGAAACGCCATGTCATTGTTCAAACCCTGCTATAACAGGGTGATTAGATACAGCAACTCAATTTTCAGGTGAAACTTCATCAATCAAAAAAGGCAAATGAAAAAAGAGATCGCAACCATTAATTTTAGCCTTGTCGACAAGCCAGAAACTATTCAGGCCCGATGGAGCTGGAGCAACGACCCCGTTTTCATCGGTTCGATTAGCAATTATCATTTAAATCGGCAAATTTGCATGATTGAATTCTGTTACAGGGAATCAAAGACATAAAAGAAATTGGAAAATGTAACAGGACTTTCAAATAACTTTACTTCATTGGAATCATTGGTGATTAAAAGAGGCAGTTAAAGTACCTAGTTAAAAAGTTTCCTACTAATTTTGTAGCATTGTAAATGTTTCTGTTTATTTAATTGTTTTTTTTTATCTATATGCAGAGAAATGAGAATTGAGTTTTATTTAATAATTTAATAACAATAATTCTTCCTACGCACGTAGGTGTAATCGAGGTATTTTGCAGGTGTTTTTATACATGAGCCTTTTTTTGATGGTTTCTTGGGAGGGCAATATGATCTGAATATAAGTTCCTTTCTTCTCCATTTTCTCGTAGTACCAGCCTTTGTTTTCATGATTTTGATGCTTAAAACAAGTTATTTCTTGATTGATTTCCGTTGTCTGTGGGTGTCTACTGAAATATTGGTCTTGGGTCTAGGATTTTAGGCTTTATTTACATGTTGATCATTTATCGTAAAAAAACTCCACTTCTCCGGAAGATTTATGTGACATGATTCTGAAAAGCAAATTCCGCGAATAAAATAAATTTTGTTGGCGCAAGAGACAGTTTTAAGTTTACGGGCGCCTGCAGAACCTCTTATAAGAAATAAACGACTGTAAAGTCAATTCGAGAGGGCGATAAATTTCGCCCTAAACTGGTGCGACTTTGGGGCCTTGCTGCCGTTGTGCGATAAAACTAAGCGGAGGTCAGCCGAATAGAGGATATGGGGTGTATTTGTTATTGTTTGCAATGTTTGCCACCCATAATTTCGATATTTGGTTCACGAAGTGTTTCGGTTGGCATTAGAGCGAACACGTAACCTATTTTATCTTTGTATGACAGTATAATGCGAATTTGTGAATTGGAAGCTACCTTTTTTTGATGCTACTGGGGATTTTTATGTAGTTGGAAATTGTTTTGAAGCTAGTGCAATATACCATTTCCAGTATCATTTCACACTGTCAAAAATCGTATTTTTGACAGTGAATCAAGTGTGATTCACGTAGCCTGGCAGAAAAAAATTTCATAGCAGGCCGTGTGAATCATCCGTGATTCACACAAACATAACCTGTCTATTCTCGTTCTAACCATAATTTTGTGCCGTTTACTGTGTTCCTTGTTTCCCTAAAGCACATTTTTGTGTAATAGAATAGTGTTATTCTTATAATCATAATTCGTGTTTCATGTAATGCATTCGTGTCTCTTAGTTTCTAATGTTTGCATAATAATTGAATAAATAACTTGCTCCTCGTGCAATGGAAATATATTTATAATTTTCGACAAATTTGCACTCATGCGTTTTTAACTGAAAAAGGCACTCGTGCACTACGTGCACTCAAAACTTATCAATAATTTCCATTGCACTAGGTATATTACTATTGATAATTTTTATTTGGTTTTGAAATAGATCTGATTTAAGTAGGCTACTGAAATGACCCAACTACTCGCCTTTGTTATGGTAACCGTGATAAACATACCAATGCGCAACTTGCGGCAAAACACGTGCGTGTACCATTCTTAAGTTTGGTGGACTCTATTAGAATTGAATTCAAAAATTAATTATTGATTCAAATTGAACTAGTGGAATCAACACAGAAAAATCACTATTCCATATTTCGGCTTATCCAACTAATTTCTTGTTGCGGCGCTGATTCCAATTTTGGTATCTGTCGATATCATATTTAACTTTTAAAAAACTGACTTTAAACAATGAAAAATTAATGTTGATACTAATTTATAGAATTAAAAAATATCTTAGAATATTGTTTTATTTATTTCAGCGACTGGCTGGTGGCCGAGTCTTTCACAAAGTCTGGAACTGGAGCTGAGGGACCTGGAAATTGTTCCAAAACACTCGTTTTTATTCGAAAAGAACGCGCCCCAAAGGCATATCGAGATGAAGCTACAGGCACTAAAGAAAAGACCTTGCCGAGGTAAGTATTTATCGTCTATAAAAAGTCAAGTTTTAAGGCATCACTTTACAATCATAATTATTAACTAAAGGTTAACTTCCAAGTCATCAAATTTTAATCTTAATTGCTACAATAACAAAGTGGTTTAATAAATCTCAGAATTCCCCCCATTTGCGATTTATAATCCCGCTCCGTTGGGCCTGCTGTTTAATCAAAATTAAAATCAGGATTTCGAGGCGAATTAATATAAGATTGCGGGAATATATTTTATTTCCACCACGGCTGCCTTCATTAAAAATAATTAACTGTTTGATCACCTCGAATAATTTTTCTGTCGCAATGTTTTAATTGAAACACGAGTTTGTTTTGAGGAAATGTTAATTTAACGGTGCAAAAAGTTGTATTTATTGAATGAAGAGGGAATTATATCTCGATTCAGAAATTCTATTTCAAAAAACATTTATTTTATTGATTAAAATACAGAGGTGACAAAAGAAAATATGTGGATCAAATTGCTACAGCAAAAGCCTGCGAAAACAAATGAACTTTCCTTATGGGACTGCGCGGGCTTAAATAAGAATTCAATGCCGATATAGTAATTTGATGTTTACTATACAACAATGTATTTAAAAAGTCATAGAGGAAAGGTGTAAGCACATTAAAGCATATAAAAAATAGATATTTGATTATAAATCAACGTGGCAATTGGTTAATATAACTAGGGTTTAAATGTATTATCAACAGAAATTTAGTTTTTTGATTCTCGGATTCTCTATGTTCAAGCTGAAGTTGAAAATTAATTGCTTATTTACAAATATAGCAAAATTTTGTTAGAGAAAAATATCTTCACAGATTTGTTAACCAACAATTTTTGTTCCAGCTGTCGTCTTTTGTACGCCATCAAACGAAATAGGTCTGACCGTCTTTCAGGCAGCCACAAAGCTCAACTTATCCCTGGATAACACCCTATTCATTTTCCTGGACATCCTGAGTCTGCCCTCGTGGAAAAATCATTTACAAGGGCTTAAGGACGTTAATTATACGACAGGCGTGAACTTGATATCGCAGGACATGTTGTTGTTCGTCGAAAACGGCATTCTGGCGTTAACTTCCGAGGATCGTCTCGTAAAAAACGTTCGCGAAACTTTCGAAATGATGTCGTTTTCTCGGTCCCGGAGTAGTCCGGAGTTCGTGTTAGTAGAAATTCTTACGAACGCATCGTTGCGCCCTCTGATGAGGATTTATGAATCTAACTCGAGTGTTTTTCGTACGGAAACCGTGTTCGGAAACTTTGAAGAGTGGTGGGTGACTCATAAACAATTAGACGAATGCGACGTGTTTTGCAAGTTTTCGCAGGACAATTTATTTAGGTGAGTAGATGTTGATAAGTACATAGTTTAGTGGTTATCGACCTTATAAAATTAATTTTGGTAGGTTCTATCAGGCGCAGGACAAAAAAACAAATTCCTTTTTCAAAAAATTGCCGAGGTTTTGATTTAATTAAAATCTTTTTCAAGGCTGACAAATAGGATAAAATCTTATTATGGTTTTGATCAAAACTAGATTTGGACTGGATAATACAAATCCTAAACTAAGTACATACCTATTTCTCATTAATAGGAACTCATTGTAAAAGACAAAGGAAAAACATCGTAAAACACATAATACATGGAGGAAACAGAAAACTCACAATTGAAATTAAAATAAATATAGGGTAATCCAACTAGTGCTTTAGGGTTTTAAAATGGGATACAGGCAACACTGTATATGCCCAAAATAGTTATTTATGATATAAGTGTTAAAAGTACATTTTTAAGGCACGCATGTGAAAGTTTGCAGAATGAGCGAAGCGAATTCTGCAATTCACATAAGTGCTTTAAAAATACTTTAAACACAAATATCATACAATATTTTTTCTACAAACGGCAATAAAAAGCAATAACCACTAACAAATTGGATTTTTAAATGAATAATAAATTGGAAGCATCTTTCCTACATAAAATTCTTGAATTTGACATTTGTCAAAAAATCCATACAACCAGCACCTTGTTTTACAGGTAACGAAATGTCTTGTCAGTTTCTTGAAAGTATGTCGTGGTCAGGAATGCTTTTTGCTAAAAATGCAACAATATACAGAAGAAAAAGAGTGTTGCATCGATCCTTCGAAAAATATAGATGAGGCGGCCAATCGGGCTACCTCAGTTGTTCAAATTTCACCATTATTATCAATGTAAATAACTGAAAATACAAACTTTTTTTGACGTCCGCTCTCAAAATTTGATGTTTCACTTTTAACACTAGTGCTATAAAGACTTTATGGCACTAGTGCGATAAAGTAACATTTTTAATGCTTCGGGGCGGTGTTAAAAATTGCATTTTTAACACGTTTGTAGAAAAAAAAATTATTTGGTAGTTTTTTAGATTGGTTTATTACAAAACAAAGTGGAACATTTTAATACCACAGCAACGTTACGAAATTATTAAAATTTATTATCAAAACCAAAGCTCTATGAAGGCAACTTGGCGCAAATTAAGTGAACTTTATAGGCTCCATGATCGATGCAGTGAATAGAAAATTCGTAATGTTGGGAGGAAATTGGAAAATGAGTTTACGTTGCTTGATAATCCAAGAACAAATCGTGTAAAAAATGTGAAAAATGCAGAGAATGTTGGGATTTTGGAATGAAGGGATTTTGGTTCCAACAGGATAGCGCTACATGTCATACCGCCAACAAAACCACGGCGTTATTGCAAAGCGGTTATTCCTGAGATACCGGCTCGCATATTCATTTTCTGCCAACGTAATAGGACATTCGGCTGCATTCGTGTTCGTTCGAACACAGCGTAGGCAAATTATCATTGGAGTGGACTAACGTTGGCAGTTTAAGGCCTGTCTGGCGTTCGGGAAAATATTCTCTAAATAAACTCAGTTGGAAAGTGGCAGTTATTGTTAGCTGTAGGTACCTTTTAATGCGGAATGCGATAACGAATGAAGAAATACCTTTATTACAAGTTTAAAAATTAATCACCGTGTCTATTCAAAGGCCCCAGAACTTTTTTGGTAGATTTGAGTTAGTTTCGGTTGGTTTGCGTTAGTATGGGTTATTTTTGGTTGATTTAGGTTAATTTTGGTTGAAAAATCGTACTAGGCGCTGTTCCTTTCTATTTCCTTTTTTCAAGCAAAGACATGAAGAGTACCTAATAGAAATTAACCCAAACTGACCCGTGCTGGAAATGCGACCCAATCTCTGTTTCTGAAGCTGATCAAATAGCGGAAAAAGAACGCGTATTAAAAATAGAGCGCATGTATGTATTATTGAATTTTGAATAAATATTATGAGTCCCTGAAGTTGGTTTCTCTGACATTGTGCGACAGAAACACAGGCGTTCAGATGAACATTTATTTCACAACAACAAGAAGAGAAAAAAGATCTTTTGTATTTTGAACTTTCCATATTTTCGACATTTTGCATTTCCGACATTTCTCAATTTTTACCCTTTGCATTTTCTTATTTCATTTTTTTTAGTTCACATTATAAAATAGTTAGTTTCTATCGAGTAGTTCCAAAGACATCGGTAGTTCTTTCTACCACAATATTATGTCATTCATTCTTTTAGCTGAAATGTTCATGTAAATAAAATTCTTATCTTTTATCTTGCCTTCCTTTGAATAAAAAACATTTATCGGACCTAATTATCAATAAAATGCTTGTAACATACAGTCACATGAAGTGCCAACGTCTGGTTGCGATGCTCATATTCTGCTAACGCTTCATGGCGCAGGGCACGAATTTAGCCGAATATCAGTTGCGTTGGCAAAAAATGAATATGCTACCGGCTCAAATGTGTGAAAACCTAATGATAAATTGGACTGATTTAATTCGCCATTGTGAGTTAAAATGGTTTATTCATTCGAAGAAAATTAACCCACTCGCTAGGGCTCGTGGGTTAAACTTTCTTCTCATGAATAAATATTCATATAATTCACTTGGTGTATAAAATTAATTTTTATATAAATAAATTCTCTGAAATTCACTTATCGATACATAAACGACAAAATATCGAATTAAAATTGGCTTAACTTATTACTACGCTCTATTTATACATATAGACGAAGTTGCATTCCGCATCTAGCTAGAAAAATATTGAATCGAATATAATAAAATTCCCAGAAAAAGCGCACTACCCGAATAAACAAGTGCCTAATTTCTTGGAATCCCGGCCTGGCTGTCGGTCGGTGGCAATTATACACTCGCCGGCACAAAATTCCGCCACCCTTAAATTTCGGCAAAGTTTGAGGTTTTATAACTTTTTTATTTATTATCCGATTTCCGTGATTTTATTATCAGTTTGTAGATCCATTGATTTTGTTTTTTTCTAATTAATTCATAAAGTAACATTTTTCGATTACACTATATTATACATTTATAGAGGAGTGGAGTAAAGCAAACTGTTGTTTTTGGTCGTAACTTCAAAACATCCTGTAGGAAAATTTAGGTGTATAATTTTATTTATATACTGTTCTTTACTATAATTATATCGCCATCTCCGATGATTCATGATAATTGTACTAACAATTAGTCATAGTCTAGCTCAGCATTTAATCTTTTATATAAATTCGAGCAGAGCAATAATAGTTTAGTTCTTTAGTTCGCTTCACTGAGTTCACACGTTATTTATTAAGTAATAAAGTTTTTTTAAAAACATAAGTTGCTTAATTTAAAACATAACTGGCGCAGTCGGTAGGATTCCTTTCAGGTATACAGGATTCCTTTCGAGTAATTTTCGGGTTTTCGAAAAGTTTGAATTGGATTACGTGAGTGCGTACCTATCTGTCCTAACAGTTAAGAAAGGAACTCCAAACAACAACAAAGTGAACAGAAGTGAAGTGCTATTGGCTCCTGGCAGACATGGCTGTGTGGTTCGCCATAACGAGAGAAGCCAGCCCGAACATATTAGTGTATACTAGTGTCCACTACAGACTTGTCTAACCTGAGCAGTGTATCTCCTCGGCAAGGATAACGTTTGATACAGGTCAGAGATTGGAATACTACTTTTTAAGTCCCTTCCGTTAATTGAACTGCCTGTTAGTTAAGACATTGTTTTCATTTCAAACAAGTGAAGTTTTCACTTTTGCAAATTAAATTAAATGAAATGAAACATTTGTACAAAACGTATAAAACGTTTTTACACTCTAAATGAAAAAATTTAGAGATCGTTCTAAGAAAATCTTAGAAGAAATTTCTTATCCAAGAAATCCAAAAAGAGGAGCAAAGCAACCTCAATCATCAAATCAACCTTCAACTTCTACAAGTAGTGCAGAAGATCGCCTTCTAACTGACGATTTTCCTAATTTTGATATAGCTAGTTTATATTCTAACATTAGTTTAGAAATACATGATACTAATGCTTTTGATAATTTTACCTTCAATAATTTACCTATTAATAATAATTCTAGATTAGTAAATAGAGAAATGGCCGACGCTTTGAGATCAACTGTCACTCTTTTAAAAACTTTTGATGGTACTCCATCACATTTAGAGGCATTTGTCAAGCAAATTGATAGCTTCCATAATAGATATTTCAATAATGACGTCTCACAACAAGAATAAATATGTTAATCTTGCTATAAAATCCAAAATAACAGGATCTGCTGAAGATTTTCTTTTAACCAGATCTGATTTAACAACTTGGGATAAAATTAAAATAGCCCTAAGACAAAAGTTCAGTGATCCTCTCACTCGAGCTAACTTACAACAACAGTTAATATTCTTAACAAAGAAGAACGAGTCCACACAAGACTATATTCAAAGACTCAAAGCCTTAGTTACAAAAATAAACACAAAAATTTGTACGGACATTGCAAATATAGAAACGCGAACAATTTTGATAAATCAAAACGAGTTAACTGCAACTCAAAATTTACTGGCAAATATTTCTAGTGAATTGAGAACACTCTTAATTGTTCAGAATCCTCAGAATCTTGACACTGCTATTGACAGTATTACAAATTATGAAATTTTAATAAGTCAGAATAACCTTAAAAATTCATTTTTGCAAAATCATAATCAAACGAAAAATTTGAAACCAACAACTTCCAATTTTTCAAAATCAAATAATAATTCACAGAATAATCAAAGTCGAACTAATCAGTTCAAACCTCAAAAGCAATTTAAACCTATAAATCAGACTAATAAAAATCAATCAACTTCTAAACAAACTTACCCTCAACCAATGTCAGAGGCGATTTTCAGCCTGGAATGATTATTATTTGGTTATAACCAATGCATTTCCGCCGTCGCGGTTTTAACCAAAGTAGGGGAGGTTGTGACGTCACATATCAGCTGATTTGCTTTTGGTATTTACCACT